GGGTGTCGTGTCTCGTGGGCGACAGGTGTTGGTGTGTCCGTCTCGTGACCTGCCGGACGGGGTTCAGTGCTCTCTCTACACACTCTTTACACAGTCTCCATACACTCTGTGCTCTCTCTACACACTCTGTGCTCTCTCAACACACTCTGTGCTCTCTCTGTTCACTCCCTACACACACTCTCTACACTGTCTCTGTTCACTTTCTGCACACTCTCTACACACTGTGCTCTCTCTGCGCTCTCTCTACACACTGTCTGCGCCATCTGTGCTCTCTCTACACACTATCTACACACTCTGCACTCTCTCTTTATATTTTCTATACGCTCTCTCTATTAACTCTCTACACATTCTGCATTCTCTTCATAATCTCTCCATGTCTGTGGTTACTGGTTTGTGACCCATTTGTGTAGCAAGTGCCAATGGACCCTTACTCATAGTCAACGCGTAGTATACGGCTTGCCAGTACAGCTGGCTCATGGCATCACTCGGCTGTTTACAATCATAACCCAAAAACAACTACCAAACCTCAGCAAAATCATCTATCTATAAGCAAACTGTTTACTTCTTGGGTCATCCATTTACTCAAGTTACTCTCTTGTAACACCTCTAATCTTCTGGCACTCATATGACCTTATGCAGTTGCGAGCGCCGTAAAACCTCTACTAAAACAAAAGGAGAAGTGTTTTCGTTAGTATAAGAAGGCATAGTTTGAGGGCCGAAATGAAATGGTGAAATGGTATATGCGTTTAACCCCTCTATCAACACAGTTGGGTTATTTAAGAGGCACACCACCGAGTTATACGTCCGTCTCCGGAATGACCGAACCAAATGGGAAAATCGTGTTTTAAGTGCCTTTCCCAAGGACACAGCGTCGGACCGAGCTTGTGGGTGGTTGGTGGGTGCTCTGGTGTGGTTTGCTCCGTCTTTCCTATCAAACAAACATCTATCATCCCTATCTCCCCTCCTTTTTTGTTTTGTTTGTTACTCTCTTGTAACACCTCTAATTTTCGGCACTTATATGGCCTTATTGTGTTGCAAGTGCCGCAAAACACTTACTGAAACAAGAAGAAATGTTTTCGTTAGTATAAGAAGGCACAGTGTGATGGCCGAAATGAAATGGTAAATGCGTTGGGTTGTTTAAGAGGCTGACCTCCGAGTTTAACGTCCTTCTCTCTGAAATGACCGAGCCAAATGGGAATTTCGTGTTAAAAAGTGCCTTTCCCAAGGACACAGCGTCGGACCGAGCTGAGGCTCGAACCCCCGAACCCACTGTGTCACGATTAGGGCCGAGTCCGAGACAGCGGGTTGTCGTAAGTACAAGCACAAAACTGTACAAGTAGGTACAGTGTGAGGGCCGGGTGTGATGACACTACAAGCAACCTCCTGTTATCTTCGCACTGTCTCCCGCGGGGGATTTTGGGTCTCACCGTAGTCTCACGGGCCGACCGTTATGAGGCAATTCTCACCCTCAACACCTTTCTTGTAGGTTATCCCCTGCGCTGTCCACAATTGAATTTATTGCTGTACCTACCCGTCTACCATTTGTGTTGACTGCATGGGGACATACAACATGTATAGGATATCGGGGGGG